AAACCATCCGGAAGGTGCGGCGCTGTCAGTAACTGAAACTGTGCTTTTGGGTTTGTGTTTGGATTTATTCTATTGTTTTGGGTTATTTTGTTTATCATAAACTAGATAAAAGAACGTTGCAAAGGTGCAGGACGTTTGTCTGTCTGGCAGTGGAAGCAGATAGTGTTGTTTTGCAGTTCCTGTAGAAAGACTGTAGACTCCTCCATGTGGTTGGGCAGTACTAGCGACCGTTTCGTTGGGCAGCTTCCCTGGTTGCTGGGGCAGATGCCTAAATCCTACTTCCCAAGTGGAACTCCTTGAGGAAGCAAGCTAGAAACAGTCAAATGCGAAAGTCCTGCTGCAAGCACGCAGAGGAGAAGCAGGAAGCTTTTCCAACCAAGCACTGCTGCTGCTAGCCTGTGTGTAGGTTTTTGCTCCTGGCCCGGCCCTTGCACCTTCCACCCTGCTCCAAGGGCATCCTAGGAAGCATCTCACCAAAATTAATCCATGCTCCAGCTGTGCAGTGTGAGGCCTGAAGCTCTGTCTGTTCTGTACTTCACTTCTGCCTTTGCTAGCTGGTATGTCACCTTCAGCTCTCAACACCCCAGGCTCTGCCTGTGTGTTGGGGGCTGCCCAGCCCTGCTGGGGCTTAGGTTTGTACCTGGCTGAGGCAAACAGGTAGTTCACTTGTTCTGGGCAGAACAGGCTGGTGGAGGTAGCAGCGCTTTACACTGCTGAAGGTAAGTATGTGCCTAAGCCTTTGGCAGCATTGACACCTTTTTGTGGCATGAAGAGGGTCAGCTTGCTGAAAAGTGTCCCTGAGCAGTTACTGTGAATGTTGTCTCTTCAGGATTTGAGTAGAAGAGCGGGGTGAAAGCAGCTTGAGTGAGCTCTTCAGGGTGTGCTGGGTCTGTGAGGCTGAAGGACTTTAACTTGCAATCCTGACAGCACACATACTTCCAGTTTCAAGTTAGGAGGCAAGGAATTTTTTTAAATAATGTTATTAAAGTTATCATAATAGAGAAGGTTGGGATATATAAGTGAAAAAAAAATAAGCTTTTTCAATGTGACTGAGGTTTGTTTGTTTTTTTTTTAATAAGATGCACTGAGAATGAAATTGTTGCTGTTTCTGTACCCAGCTGCAGCAAGATTAATCCAGCCTTTACTCTGCAAGTCACTCAAGGTTAGGTTAGGTTTTTGACTAGTGTTATCAGCGTCCTTACTGATGTTTTATTTTTCAGCTATAACCATGGAGAACCTGTGTAATGCCAACACCAGATTTGCACTTGATCTGCTCAGAAGATTTAATGAGACCAACCCAACAGGCAACATTTTCTTCTCTCCTGTCAGTGTCTCTGCTGCTCTGGCCATGGTCTTTTTAGGGTCCAAAGGTAATACAAAGGCACAGGTGCTGAAGGTTAGTAAAGAATAAGTAATTCTCTTTGGCTTTATGTTTTATTTCCATTAAAAATTGTTGTGGTTTAGCGGAAGGAAGAGGAAAGGTTTATGTTGTTTTTACGTGCTCGGGACAAGATCTCTGTCATGCTCACTGATCTTCCTTGGGCTCTTTTCTGCAGCTACCTCCTTCCTGCCCTGCTCCAGAGCCTGCTTTCCATATTTCCTATGACCCCTGTTTCTCATTTAATTTCACTTGTTAATTCTTGAAGTAGGAAACTGATTTCATTAATTAATCGGTGTCCATTTAAATTGATCGGAGTTTCCAGCAGCATAGTTTTTGTAAGATGTTTTGACACAGAACTCTTGCTTTGTAGTACAGGGTCACCAATGGTATGCTTATTGCTAATAATACAGATGTGTATTTCATAAGAAACTTGATAGTAATACATAGTTTTGTGTGTAAAGTGTAACAAGTATGATGCTACCTAAGTATCAGTATTTTAGTAGCAGCTAGGCACTCGGATATCTTGGGTGAGCTGAGCCCACATGCTTATTCTTAGGTTAGGTAGGATAGTTAAGAAAAATAATTACAAATTGCAAAAATGGTGTACATAGGAGTGCACCAGTTTCCCATGAGCCTCCTGCATGGAAGGGAGTTAGTCACTATTATTTTCCCCCTTGATTAGGCTAATGCCTGCTAGCACAAAGAAGGGTGTATGAGGCTTCTCACTGCAGTCATCATCATGTGTTTGCCTATGAATAATTTCACCTTTGTATTCTGGACTTGAGGAGGAACTGTTCTGTACTGTTGAGTTGATGCCTACTGAATAAGACAATAAAATTATGTTCTCGCTACTTGTACAAACAGACTTTGAACATATATTTCATGTAATCAAACTGACAGCCCCACCTAGGATAAACTTACTGTCAGCAGAAGTCATGCAAAAGGAACTTGGGGGAAAAATTTATTTCAGCATAGTCACCTTCAGTAATGCATGTTCCTGTACCATAATGCATTACTTATGAGAACATAGCTAATTAAGGAGGTAGCGATTGGTAACTGTCAAGGGCTGTTCTCAAGCACATAGGAATTTGTTTCCATGATCATAATCCTATTTTAAGTTGCCTCCATGATGTTTTTGCTCAGTTATTCATATGTACAACGTAGCTTGCATAAGGGTGGACAGCAAGGCCTGACCAAAAGCCCAGTAAGATAAAAGAAGGGCTTTCCTTTGAGTACAGTGGCTGTATCACAGCAGTCGTCCCTACTGAGAAATACATGGTGCAAGTTTGAATGTGGACATCTCTGCTTTGGTGTAGCCTTCCCTGTCAGTGAGGTCTGGCAGCTTCTGCTGTCATATCTGTAAGCCCTGGCCAGCCAGTTTGCCTCTGGGAAAGGAGGTACTGGTGAAAAGAAACTGCAGTAGTGCATTTGATTTTTAAGATGATGCAGTTTCATGTATACATATATAGCAGTTATATTTTCATGAAACCGTAAAAGAGAATTGTTCCAAGTTTTCTTGACACCTCACCTGTGCTAGTTTTGATTGTATGTTCTGTAAAGCAAAACCTCAGGTTCCCTTGTGCAAAAGGGGGAAGCAAGAAAACCGAAGTGCCTCTATTGGCATCATCTCTCTTCAGCTCCCCACCTGAGAATGAGTCACTGTGTCCCATGGTCCATGGAGGGGAGGCATGCAGATGTTACATGGGTAGGACTTGGGGTTATGATCTACAGCTTCAGCTGTCACTGTGTATAAACCAGGAGTTTAATACAAGTGGCTGATGGGCAGAGTAGCACCAAGAAACAGTTTCATTCATTTTTCAAGGTTTACAGAAGTCTCTAAGCAGCTTCCAGCCTTTTAGCTTTCTTCAACCTACCTATCTTCTGGATCAGATACAAATATACTGTATTGTTCTTTTAAGAGTATTTGCAGCAGCTAGTTCACTCCTTTTATTTCAGACACTTCATTTTGACAAAGTTGAAGATACTCATTCAAGATTTCAGACTCTAACTATGGATATAAACAGAAGCAATGCTCCCTATCTCCTACGGCTTGCCAGTCGGCTTTTTGGAGAGAAGTCCTACAGCTTTTCGCCGGTACGTTGGTGCAGATCATGATGGTATGGTGGAACCTGGTGGGAAAATGCAGCTATTTGAATGTTTATGGAGTAGAAATATTTCTAGATATATTTCTAAACATTACTGGACAGTCGACAAGTGTGTTGCATACATGCATATGCATTTCCATGTCTGTAGGCATCTGTGCATCTCACCTAAAGGATGTTACACAGCAAACTCTTTTCATTGCTTGTTTGGTTCAGCTGCTCTTGGGCTCAAGAGAAATATCACTTGTCTAGGTTCTTAGTTTACAGTAACTATCACAACATCTCACTCTTGCAACCAGCTTTTTAGGATGCAACCAGCTCTTGTGTCTGTTGCAATCAACTTTTTAGGATGCAACCAGCCCTGTGTCTGTTGCAATCAGGTTTTTAGGATTTTCATTGGTCTAGTACAACATTACTTAAATGTTTTTGAAAACACTGCATTTATTTGGGAGGGGATGCCTAACATGTCTACACAACATGCCTCTTCACCAGTGGAGTATACCTTTGCGTACACCCAGGTTGCTATTTTTATCCCTCTTCAGCCCTTTCAGAGAGTTTTGTTTTATCCTAGCCGTGCTTGAGCCTGTTTCAGGGGAATAACAAGTAAATGTTGTAACACCTGCAGTAAGCACCCCATCAGCTGTGTATGTGGCAAATGTACTGTCAGGCTTACTCTGAGAGGGGGAAAAAACCCAACCCATCCTCAAACCCACCCCAGGCAGCGCAATGTTAGAGCCCCGTCTCAGAGCAGGTGATAAGCTGTTTGACATGCACCTTATCTACAGCATAAAGAGATGTTTTCCTGTCTGCATACAATGAAGCTATTCTTATTGTTCCAAAATCTAGGATTTCCTGACTAATACTCAGAAATTCTATGGAGCTGATTTGGCTACAGTTGATTTTCTTCAGGCTAGTGATGAAGCCAGGAAAGAAATTAACCAGTGGGTAGAAGAGAAAACTGAAGGTAAATGACTTTGGTTAATAAAGTAACCAGCAGTGTTTCACACTTTGGGAGCAGGAGAAGGCCCTTCTACCTTCAGAACAGTTTAATTTTGCCCTGGGATATTCACTTGATGTATTGACAGAACCAAATAATACCTAAGCAAGACGTTTAAACAGTTCTGTAAGTGCTGATACTTTTCCATTGTTTATGTTGAGGCCAGTGAGTGCAGGAGAGATGCCTAAACATAGATTTATACCATTGAGTTGGAGATCCTGTTTTAGACAGTCCTGGTTCATATTGATTATATTGTATATATGTATTTCTAAATCCTGTAATTCTAACTGTGTGTGTTATCTAGTTTTTGTATGATGAGTCGTATGTGGCAGTTTAAGCTAAAAATAATACATATTAATCTAATTACTGTATAACAAAAGTGACAGTAGTGTTTACTATTAAAAAGTATGGTGAAGAGGTAAAGAGACAGGTACTGAAACACACCTTATTACAGGAATGAACTAAAGTTTTATGTTTGCAGTATTTTTAAGGCATGAGTTTCTTCATGTATGTTTTGTATGGTTTCATGTATGTTTTATGTACTATCACCTTGTCACAAGATTTTATTGTGACTCTTTTTTTTCCCTGCCCCCCTGAAGGTAAAATCCTTAATCTGCTGGCTGAAGGCTCAGTTGATAACATGACCAGGCTTGTACTGGTGAATGCTATTTATTTCAAAGGGAACTGGGCAGAGAAATTTAAAGAAGCTGACACCACTGACATGCCATTTCGCTTAAATAAGGTAATACAGATACATCTTGGTAGTATATATCTAACAAAAAGGTCAAATCATACAGGTGCTAAAGTGGAGCTTTGCTTACAGGTAAAATAATAAAAAAAATCATAGACTCACAGAACGGTTTGGGTTGGAGGTGACCTTAAAGATCATCCATCCAGTTCCAACCCCCTGCCATGGGCAGGGACACCTTTCATTACACCAGATTGCTCAAAGCCCCGTACAGCCTGGCCTTGAACACTGCCAGGGAATGTAAATAGAAAGCCTATAATGAATGTTTTCAGTTCACCCCAAAGAGTTTTTTATGGATTTTGGTATTTTTCTGTATTCAGGAAGCTATTTGTTGTCTCCCTTACCAGAATAGCATTTGAGAGAATTCTCACATATAGATTAGGACCCTGCCTGTGACTAGCAGAGTTTCAGCTGCCATGAACTATGCCTGTTTGTGATGTTAGGTAAGCAGTATTAAAATGATAGCACATTTTGGTTAACCCCCATTTTCTTGTTCTGTATGCTACTTATGTTAACAGCATTACAAGATACTACATACAGTCATCTGCTTTATGCTGAACAAAATTAGTATTTGTTGACTTTTAACATCCTTTTTGGGGCCAGAGTAATATGTACAGCAACTCAAAGAAATAGTTTCTCTGAGGACTGTACTACAGAAGCCAAAGAAGAACCAAATTTAGTAAAAACTCATGTCTCAAGATGAAATTGTTATTAAATGGGCAGTCAGGAGTTTGGCAAAGACAGTTTTATAGTCAACTAATACAATGAAGGAAAAGTTTTTGGAAGAATACAATTTTTAACTTGCTTTTTTCCTGTTCTTAACTGTTACTTTTGGTAACTTCTGTCTATCCAGAATGAAAGAAAGACAGTGAAAATGATGTATCAGAAAAATAAATTTTGTTTTGGGTACATCCCTGAAGAGAAGATTCGTGTTTTAGAGCTGCCTTATGATGGAGAAGAACTTAGTATGATCATCCTGTTACCTGATGACATTGAAGATAACTCCACTGGACTGCAGAAGGTGACCCATCTAAGCTAATGCAGTTATTTAATGGATAAGTTCAGCCATTTAAAACTAAAGCCTTAATGAACCCCTGTTCTCAGAGCCCCATATGTATGGAGCATGTCTTTAGACAATCCTCTGCTAGCACTGCAATAAAGAATATGTGCATGTGCCGCATTAGGAAGAGAAGTTGTGTTTTGGTTTTGTAGCTTCTCTTTGTGTCCTTTGGCTTGCTGAACCATGAGGGAGACTGCAAAACCAAAGTTAACTATGAAAATTAACTTGCCTTGCTTATTTTTTATGACATAACTTTTCTCTCATTACCTTTGGAAGTCTTTATTTTCTTAGCCTTGATGTAATGAGACTGTTTTCCATTAAATGACCAGGAACACATCAGCTGCTTTGAGCTCTCTGATGATTAGTTTTGTTACTTGTTGTTAATTTTGTAATTTCATTTATTTAGATTAAACAGTAAGAACAACTGGGTTTAGTTGCTGTCAGTTCATGTTTCTCCTTTCTGTACATTGCAGCAAGAAGAACATTTCTGCACCACTCTATAAAGTAACAATTGCACTGACTCCATTTAGTTTTAATAGCATTTGTAGGATCTATATGGAGATCTATATGGAGGATCTATACCCATCAAAGATACGGGTATGGTCATTTTTGTATAGTTGCATCGTACTTATTTAGTGCTTTGTAAAGCCTTGTAAATGCTACTGAAAATGAAATATTTCTACGCTGGTGACATGTAATGATCTCTTTTTAATTCTAGCTGGAAAAGCAGCTTACCTTAGAGAAGCTCCAGGAATGGACATGTCCAAAGCACCTGTATTCCACTGATGTTCGTGTGCATTTGCCAAAGTTCAGGCTAGAAGAAAGTTACGACCTTAAATCAGATTTAGTTGCTATGGGCTTGGTGGATGTATTTGACAGTGGTAAGGCTGACTTGTCAGGAATGTCAGGGGCACGTGACCTCTTTCTCTCTAAAATTGTCCACAAAGCTTTCGTAGAAGTGAATGAGGAAGGCACAGAAGCTGCAGCTGCCACTGCTGGCATTGCTATGCTCTGCATGGCTATCGAAGAGGATTTCAATGCAGACCATCCTTTCCTTTTCTTTATCCGCCACAACCCAACACAAAGCATACTTTTCTTCGGCAGATATGCTTCTCCATAAAAGAGAACTTAGCATTTGCAGATGAGTTCCTGCTATAGTCAGTGAAATCTTAGCTCCTGAATGAGTTGGATTTTGATGTAGAAAATTAACGCTCCTGTCCTGAGTTCCTAGTAACTTCGACTGAGATTTGCCTTTCCCATAAAACAGTCCCAAAGAAACTAAGGAGTAATTTATTTTTCTTAAAGACATCATCTTTAATAACAAGGAAAATCTTAACTGTAGGCAGAAGAAATCTTTTGAAGTTGGACTAGAAACACTCTTGGAAGAAACTTGTGTCTTTCAAAGCACAGAATCACCCTGTTTGCATCCTTGCATGGGTTTATCTGTGTTGACAGCCCCCTGTTGTAATAACAGTAATTCATTCATTCCTTATGCACAACTACTAGGATGTTCGTGCAAAGCTACTCCTCCCCTAAAGTCTTGCTTTTCAAAAGCACTTTGATAAAATACTTCTAGGCACCAAAAGCCAGATTCCTGAACAGCTGTGTTTACCTAGTTCTGTCATGAAATAGAAGGTCAGATAACATTTGTTTAGAGACATGTATTAATAGAGAATGGATTAAGCTATTTAAACAAAAGTAACCCCTTCTAGTCATTAGCCAGAAATCTTGCAATACAGCTTTTGAATGAGGAGTAGAGATTAATAACTTTAGGTGACATTTTTAAGGAGGACTTCAAAAATTTATAGTCTGGTGCCATTTTAGTTACTGAAAATGTGTCAGGGCTTAGAGGTTTTAGGTGCTTGAAGCTAATGGGTATCTTTTGTGCAAGTGCAGAAGCTTTCAGTATGACATTTATTTCTGGCCAGAACCTATGTGACCTTCAAAAAATACTTCAGCTTTCCAGAGGATGATTGTACACAATCTGCAGCAAAGGTCTGATGTATCTCTATATGTACAAGGATTCAACATTTACTGAGCTGACTTCCACTACTCTCTACACACAAACCTTTTGTACTGTTCAACAGCCTTATGCCTGGGAGCCACTGTAATTACATACTGTTAGCATTCAGTGTTTATTCCTGGAGGGTATTTGCTTGTATAATGTGTATCTTGGGTACTTGTAAACCGTAGGTCTAAGTGGGGCACAATAATTTCTGTAATTGCAAACTATATATGAATTTTGTCTTTAAGGAAAAAATAAAGTGTCATCTTCTTAAACTTGTGTTAAAAGGGAAACTTCTGCATACAATTTAGTATTACAGGGTACAAAAATAACTGTCCCCTGAGGGCTAGCTCTAAAGAAAACCACTGGTGCAACAGGTATGATCAGCTGTATGAAGTCCTTGGATTGTTCAGAGTAGGTGAAAGTGCATGAAAAACAAATTACTTGGTAGAAAAGATGATTGCGTGAACCATCAGCTTTCCCTGAAAGTGTAATGACCACAGCTGCTGGCACCTACAGTGAACAGGAAGAGAGCAACAGTTTATATGAAATGACACTCGGTCTGTACATTAGTAAACACGTTTCCGAGTGTTGGTAACACCTCAGTTGCAAAAGTTCTGGTGAAGATGTAAAGGAGAGTGTGTATTGCAGAGTGCAGATATGAATGTAACCGTTTCTGTATTGAATGCTCTGAAAACTCGGTGCTTTGCAAATAAGTCAGAAAAACATTAGCACAAAACCCATGTAAAAATGTGGAATGGTTTGATATTTGCATTAGTTCTGGGTTTCTGGGCCTTTGTCTTCAGCCTTTTAGCAAATAAGGCTTCTGCTGCCAGAGACAGATTTTGACTAAGTAAGGCTCAAAAGCTCCGTTGTAATTACATCCTTATCTTTATGTGCTTAAACTCAATTAATGCGTGCAAGATATATGATGTCTGAAGGCTTTTAGGGCTGTGATTACCAGGAGATCAGAAGAAAGATAAAACTTTGCATGATAGTACAAATCAGTGTAGCTTTATGAGGAAACTCGTGTATTTATTACTCTGGTCTCAGTATTCAGTAACTAACAAACTGAACTATTACATTGATTCAAATTTGGCTTTCTACAGACAGGATGGACAAAATAAAATCTCAGCAATTAAGAATCTCAATAAAGTCAGCTTCACATTCAACCATTAAACCCCTCCCCAAAACAACAAGCCTACTGGCAAATATTATTCTCCCATAATTCATGTCCCACAATAAGACAGTTGTGTTTTCCTTAATACTCCTTCCTATTCCTGCACTTCTGTCAGAACAAGTGACTGACAAGGGCTGACTCCAACAGGGAAAACTGGAATGCCAACTGTACGCACATTTCTAAAAGATAAAATGCTGCTTCAACTACTTCATGTGAAGATCTTTACAACAGGCTTTATAACAATCCAAAATTCAGAGCGGTATTTGCTCACTGTGGTGTACTGAGTAAGCCAGACTTTGTATGACTGCTACCATACATAGCCCTTTGACTTCAGTAATCTAAAACAAAATAACCCACCACTGCCACCACTTGGCTGCTTTCTGTCTGATTCATACAGTTTAAATTGCTCTTCCTAGATAGTAAATACCATAGTGTGGATAAGGAGGACAGTTATTACTGGGTTTTAAGTCATCTTGTCCTAGAGATAAATTTACATAGATGAGGAAACTCAGAGGATGTTTGGTAATACTTTCACTGTTAAATGTTTTTATGTAGCTACATATGACCAAAATCCTGGTAAAGTTCATAAATGTGATCAAGTTTCCAGCTGTCTTGGAGACAGATACTTGCCTTTTTTAATATGGTTTCATGAGAAAGGAATAATACCAGTGCAATTCACTTGAACCTATTGAGAAAAAAAGGTGCCGTTGACATCATAAACAGGCTTTTGGGTTGTTTGGTTGGTTGGTTGTATTTTTCTTACTGTAGTGAACCTGTCTAGCTTTGTCATGTCACCTTATGGTACCAACTAAATACATACTCTTATCTATATTCATTAAGGGGCATACGCAATCTCTGACTACTTAATAACAATAGAAGTCAAAAACCACAGCCATAATCCTGGAGAGCTTAGCCTGTCTGGAAACATGCTGAACATGCACAGTGTCTGCTGGCAATTCAGACGATGAATTCATCATGTCAGCCAGAGAATGTTGTATCTTCAGGTTAAATGGAACTTCAAACAACCAGCTAGTACAATCACTTTTATTTTTAAGTCATATCATGGAAGATGATGGTAATTTTGGCCAAGAATTCTTTCTCAACATGAGAGAAAACACTCACAGAAAAAAATGCAACCCAGAGGTTAACTGAGGATTTAAACTCTTTGTACATGGGAAAACAGTACAAGTAAAGTAAAATAGAAGTCATGATTTCACAGAAATATTTAGTACAAAAGCCTGGACAACTCCATACCAGCCGTATCATCCAGTTTTTCATTTGCAAGAGTCAAACTGGCTAAATAATAGAAGCAATATTCATTAGATAGATAGATAGTTTTCTAAAAAACTGCAGGAATTCATTTGGGGCATTATTGAATTGACATTTCTGGCCTTGCTACTTGTATCATTGACACTGACATGTTACTATTTGGAGAAATAACTTACATCAGTTCAGGCTGTTTCTCACGTGTACTGAATTACCCAACATAGAATCATAGAACCATAGAATAGTTAGGGTTGGAAAGGACCTTAAGATCATCTAGTTCCAACCCCCCTGCCATGAGCAGGGACACCACACACTAAACTATGTTGCCCAAGGCTCTGTCCAGCCTGGCCTTAAATTCCTCCAGGGTTGGAGCATTCACAACTTCCTTGGGCAACCTATTCTAACATGGACTGTGGCATGGCCTTTCTCATGGTCTGCATTATTTCTTAATGGAACACCTTGTATAAGAGGAAAAGAGATTGTGGTACTGCAGATTTTGGTGGTGCTCCTTACAGTGGAAGCAACTGTCACCTGATGGGATCCAAATCTCATCCCCAATTTTGGGTGGCACTGCAATATTTGTTATTCCTTTAAAGCTCTACAATCTGAAGATAAATAAATACACTGGTATTGTGACTCTTCAGAAGCAACAATTATTGCCCTTAAGTGAGCTTCAAAAGGTAAGCCCTGGGGACTCAAAAGCTAGAAAACAAAGAAATACATTTCACTGTTTATTTCATTCTTTCATCTTTTGCTTTTGGAGCAATTTCACTAGGAGATTAGTTTCTGCTTGTTGAAACTATTGCCAATCCTACATGGAGACTTTATGTACTATCCTGAGAAGAAACGGATGTTTTTGCCTTGGGACTGTTTCAGAGGGACTGGAAATGGTGCGGGTTGAAATGACCATTTGTAAGTGCATCTGGTCCTGACAGACTTTTTGATGGGGCATGGAGTTCCTCAAACAGCGGAGGTGACCCTCTTTAGAGAGCTCCCATCCCAGTTCTGTGATTTCAGTGTCATGGTCAGTGCTGATCACAGTCCTGGCTGCTTGGATTATTCTGGACCAGTGTTTCAGAGGTGCCTCCTCACTCCATTACTCCTCCATGTAATTTCAGCTACATCTGTGCAAACAGGAGTTCTCTACCCCTGCTTCCACCTCGACCCACGTGTTCCTCCACACAGCACTCTAAAGCTCCTAAGTGAGCACCAGACAAAATCCCTGGCTCAAATCTACAGGTTATCAAAACTTTCCCTAGCCTAGACTTGTATAGAATCAAAGTCCATTAACTTTCCCAGGTGACCCTATCATGATCACGCCTTGCCTTATTTCTCCATATGCCTTTCAAAGGACTACCAGGATAAAAATACTAATCTAATTAATTAGTGCATTAATTCAAACAACAAGGAAGTTCCAACCAAGGAGCAAAAAGCAGTGAACTATGGGTTAAAAACATGCAAATACACATAAATGAAGCTTGTAAAAAACTTGCTCAACTTTGAAAAGACACTTTGCTCAAGCTTTCAAAACCTACTGGTACTACCAGCTTCTGGGCCTCATCAAATGCTGCAGAGATATACCGAGCCTACTGCCAGTTTTATAACCCACTGTTTAGACAAGACAGGGCACCTGTTGACCAAAACCTTTGACAATGTGTGTCCAAGCCCAGAAGAGAATAGTTGTGACATATTTTACAGCTGAATTATCTTGGTAGTTGCAACTTCTTGCAATATATAAAAGCTAACATTACCAAGAGGAAGAGTCTGAAATGTCTCACGAGTAATTCTAAACCTGTCTTCACACTTTGCTGATATTCTTCATCACTAAATCTCCTGCCTAGCCTACTCCATAAGCATGCACCAAGAATGTCCTCTAATACCTGACCCAAAGAGCAACATTTTATGTCCTCCAAATACCATCCCAGCAAGGCAAAATAAACCCATGTTTTTGATAACTGTCTTCAGTGAGGTAAACTGGTCTTGAAAAAGCAATTATAGCCCACTAATTGGTTATAACTAATCTATATATCCTCCCTTCTAGAAAATGACTTCTCATAGGCATGCCACAGAATGTAAATGGTAGTATCTAGGCCCTTGCAGATTTGGAAAGCCTTGCTTCTACCTTCTGAACTCCACCAAGTCTTTGCCAAGTGCAGACCACCACAGAGGATTTTCACCAGGTCCACTCTGAACACTCCAAGCTGCTCCAGAACAGGGGGTACTAGACAAGCAAATGGGGTAAAACACACAATTGTTGGTCTGTAAAACTTCTGTGCAACTTTTGCCGTAACAGCTAGGACACAATTTGTTGTAACGAGGGAAGTTTGATCAGGTCTTACATAACTAATAAGCTGTAAACAGAAACTTCATGCTTTGAGTAAAGATTTCTGTCAAACCCAGGCAAGAAACTACAGTCTGGGGCTTCCCTTGGGTAAAACTTTATAGTGAATTAGATTTAGGCATTAGTAGGTACTCACGAAGTTAAGAACAGCTGGTGAGGTGATCCCATTCTTTTAACTAATAGAAGAAAATAAGAATGAAAAAATATCTCAGACTTCATTGACCCAACACTTCTAACTGCCAGTTGTATCACAGGGAAGCACATCAACCTGTGGTACACCTGTAAGACAGAAAAACATGTTTAAATTTACCAATCCATTGATTTGATTTGTTTTTCAAGCTAGGGTCAGCTTGCAAATCATGGGCCACTTAAAGAAACATTTACATCAATTCTCTGTGTCTTAAGAATTAAAATGAACATTGGTTGATAGGACAAGTAATTTTGCCAAGAGTTTTATGGATTACTATAATCCTTGTTTTCATCTCTGTTCCCATTTTTCTACATATCTTGACAGAGCAGAAGCAAACTCACAAGAGTAGTTCCTAACCTGCAAAACCATCCTGCTGTGAAGAACAGGGGCACTTATTTGAGGATGGAGAACACATAGATATGTTTAAAGAATCTGACTCAAATCCTCTAACAGTACACAGTCATGCAACTGGTTTAAGTTCTGAAACATTTCAGTCACACCATAGTCCTTGGCTTAAGTCCTACATTTTTGTCATGCAGAACTTAATATGATCGCTACCAAGCTGGGAGCCTCACAACAAAATGAATCTCTGATATGATTACCCTTTGGCCAAGAGAAGACAGTAATCGGAAAGTTTTGCAGGTTGTATATTGAAAACCTTTGATCACGGCCAAGGGCCAGCAATCTATCTTGAAACATAAGAGTCATCAGTTGAATTTCCTGCTGCAGGAAAGTTAAAGTTGGCTCCTGGACTTGGAACCACATTCTCAGACCACAGACCTCCTGCTCTGTAAAAGTTGCTTTGAATGAACTCCAGATGCGTGGCTGTGGCAACCTCTTCTGATGGAAGCTCCACACAATACCTCTGCTGTCAAGAAATACCTGCCTGCAATTTGTGTGTACCAGGTAGCTGGCTAGGTCATATCACATATGTAGCTCCGGAGAGGTGCAAAAAGCTCCGTGTAGCTCCAATGCAAAACAGTTTTCCTTTGCCAAAGAATTAAATATTTATTTACAAATGAAATCAGGTAACTGAATAGTAATTTTTAAAAGCTGTTAAATGCAATACTGTAAATCTGAAATGAAGCACCAGTTTAGCAAATGCAACACATCAGAAAAAACCCAAATGATTCAATAAAGAAAAAACTAAACCTGTGATACTTAGTCCTTTTGGAGGAGAGTTAGTAACCTTCTAACACTTCTCAGGGAAAACAGCACAGCCACCTCCTTCTTTTAGCAGAAATGTGGCATTCTTAGTCGATCAGCAAAAGATCAGAAGGTATACATAAAGCATTATAAGTTTTGACCTCATCGCATTTCATAAACTAAGCAGGATCAGGACAGGAATCCTTGAAGTCCATCAGCTAACTGGTATAGACCCAGTAAAAATGTAAGGCACTTACCAAGCATGTAACTGCACTGCTTTACTGTGTAGGTGGCACTTTTCAGCCAAGACACACATTCTTAATCACTGGTGGCCACTATGACAAGCGTGGACAGTTGCCCCAGTGGCTGTTCAGCACTTCATTAACGAAAATCTTCTTCACTAATTACCTGCTGTAATTCTAGCCAAACATAGCCCTCTTCTGCTTCCCAACTGCTAGTTAAGCACAGTCACAGGCAGTTTTAGCAGTTACTGGCTTTTCAGCACACTGGACCACAGCACCCTTAAGGAGGATTGAGGAGAAGAAAAATAATCACCACTTAAGGAATGTTGTCAACTCAGAGACACTGTCACAACTATACATTCTGCTTGCTGAAGTGTTCAGTCAGCAGCAATCTTGGATGGGGACACATTTTCAGTAGTAAGACAAAGCCAAATTCGCCATTATATCAGCATGCCAATTTGTGTCTCTAAGCCTTCCAATGCAAAAGTAATGGAATTCCCAATTCTTAACTGGAAATGTGTGTTTCACTAACAAGAATCTCATTTGCAAAAGCACTTCCTAAAACATAATCACACAATAAAAAATGTAAGTGATACAACTTCAAAAACTAACATAATTCAGCTATTTTCATGACTATTCTACTTCAAAATTATTTAAAATTGCTCTG